ATGTACATAAACCTCCACAGCGCGTCAAAACGGCGAGGGGGGAGTCAAAGTTTTCCACACAAAGGGGACTCCTAACTTGCCACGCTGTGTTGAGGGATTTGTACAGACATGTCAAACCAAACGCGTGTCACACCGACACATTATGGCTCAAGAAACAAGCGCGCCAGTGCTTGTTTCAGCGCTCGTGGACGCCGGTCGTTCGATCGTCGCCCCGTTGCACTTTCGCGCATTCGTTGCTTTCGGGTTGTGTTTGGTTTCGGGTCGGTTGCTGTAGGCGCTACCTCCTTAGGCCACACACCCCTTTTACACCACGGGGACCAAGCCCTCCGGGGTCCCTCGTCGTGTCCCATCCCGTGCTAGGGTTCTTGATACAATTGGTTATCTCTCTGAACACCTCCCACTCCGTAGATTGTGGTGGTTGTTTCCTGTTGATATACCTGAACCCTTGTCACTTTCACTTTTATGATGTCTAAATTTGCTCACCCTTCTTCTAGCGTGACCAGTGCCTTTCGAAAATATATTGCAGATCCGCAGAAGGATGACATGCACAAATCTAGAAGTATACCTGACGAAGCCGCTTTTGAAGTGCTCAAAAAGGGTTGAGCGCGACCAGCAGGTTATGAGCCCAAGGTTGCAGGTGTAAGCCCCTCAGCTGGGGAGGGCAGCCCAGCGCCATGTCGATGGTTGCGAGACGCCGAAGGCGAGCGCCGGGCGATAGTGACGAAGAAGATCAAAACGATCAGGAAGAACCTCAACTACCAGATGAGCAGCTGGTGCTGGAAGATGGCGAAGAAGGTGAGGTGCTGGAAGGCCCAAGAGGACCGCCAACGACCTTGACACCGATGACTCCGCTCTTCACGCCCGAGCAGCTGCGAGGACTTCATGAAGCACAAAGCCAAGCATCTCACCTCTATGCACAGGCACCAAGGCAAAGCGTGTGGCAGCCCGGAATGGGTTTGACAACCCCACGCCTGAGAGCAGCGAGTCAGTGAAGCGACATTTGGAGCTGACTGCTGAGGAGCCACAGGAGGCCGACTTGGAGGTGGAGCGACGTCGACTGTATGAACTCACCCCCATGCAGCAGTTTGAGCAACTCCAGGCATTGTTGGGGACGGTGACTCCAGCGCCGAGGGCAAGGGCAACGTGAGCGATCAAGATCACAGCAAGGTCCAAGAACTCCAGGAGGACGAGGGTGAGGCTCACATCGCCTTAACGGCCTTGAGGTGCTACCGCTCTGGGGAGTCCTACACAGGGTGGTAGATGAATGCCCTATCTTCAACAAGGTCCCGATCCGCATCAAGGACAGGTTGGCAGACACGCCAGCGAGGGACTTAGACATCCTTGGGGTCAACCGGCGAATCCGCAAGCGGTGGAAGAACGAGGGGGTGGTCATCCACTTGTATGCGGGCAAACGGGAAGGATATGACCTCACCAGGGCATTGAAAGAAGCAGGTGGGGACACTACAAGACTGTTGGAGGTGGATATCCAACGTGATCAACGTCACGGCATGTCCAAGGACAACGCAATATGATGAGGTGGAAATGGCGAAGTGTCACTTGGACGACCTCTTGTTGTTCCGCATGGTGGCGTTGTACATCGTGGCCAAGCTGGGACGAGATGCTCGGTTGGCACAAGAGAGGGCAACCAATCTGCAGCCAGTGGTCAAATTCTTGATGGAACAGCCTGCAGCTCCTCAGCATATGCCGGAAGTTGCATCGGTTTGGAGGACTGAAGAATGGCAGATCATGAAGGAGTACCTCAACTTGGACCTGGACACCTTCAACCAGGGCGCCTATGGTGGGATGGCAGTGAAGCCTACATCACTGGCACTCAACATGGAGTTCACTGTTCCTGAGTTTAGAGGACCTCCAAAGGCATTCCTGAAGTCCAAAGGTCACCAGGGTCAAGAAGACTGCCTCCCAGAAGAAACGAATGAAGACCCCACCAAGAGGAAAAGGTTGGTGCTGATGCTTCCGCCAAAGATCCTCGTTCGCTTGGGGCTAGTGAAAGAAGGGGAGATGTGGCTGGTTGAACGGGCGCTACGGCTTTGAAATCAGCCAGATGTCCTTTCAGGCCAACCACGTCACCTATGAGTACCAGCAGAGCTTTGCTAAGCCCCGGGCATGGCTGCCTCCTCTCCTCTTCATTGAATAGGCCTGTTTAAGCCCTGGGCATGGTTGCCTCCCAGCTGGAGGAAGAGACTTGTGGCTGGTGCGTCGACAAGACTCAGAAGAGGGAGCGAAGATCGAAGGACTTGCTTTGGTCTATGTGGACGACGTCATGTTGTTTAGTTGTTTGGCCCCAAAGACATAGTAGAAGGGAAACATGGGAAACCTCGGAACCTACGTGGGTGGGAGAAGCAGAACCAGTTCGGTACTGTGGGATGGAGGTGAGCAGGACGGAGCATGGGGACTTCTTTGCCAATCAGTGTTCTTACTCGAGGGAAGTGGTTCGACGACATGGCGTGGAGGATCTCAACAGTGCTCAACTCATGAAGGAAGCCCAGGAGCCGGAAGATGAACTGGACGGAATACCTGCACAGGTACGAGAAGCTCAACAGCTTGGGTGCGAACTTCTCTGGCTGGCGACGAAAACAAGGCCGGACATCGCCTATGTGGTCAGCAGGATTTGCTCAGCGACTAGCCGGGCACCGAAATGGGCAGTCCAAACAGCGCACCAGCTCATCAAGCATCTGAATGCCACTCAAGGGCTTGGCTTGTGGTATAGGCGGGACGCCAATTTCATCTTGGAGTCGGTCAGCGACGCGTCGTTCGCTCCATGAGGAGCCCACAGCCATGGATGTGTGATCACCACGTTGGGTGGAGCGCCAGTGGCATGGAAGAGCTGCAAACAGCCATTTCAAGCACTCTCGACGGCAGAAGCTGAGCTGATTGAGGTCATCGAAGCAGTGGTGGTCGGCGACAGCATAGCATGCCTGATTGATGAGATGGCGCCGGATGTCCCCAAATTCCTCAAGTGCGATAACACCGCTGCAGTGTCAATGGCCAGCTGCGCAACGGGAGCTTGGCGTACAAGCCACTTGACAGTGCGAGCTGCTCACTTGAGGTGGAGGATCCAGTCAGGCCAACGGGAGCTGAAATACCAACCAGGACGAGAATTGATTGCTGACATTGGAACGAAAAGTCAATGATTTGAGACAGAGGATGGGAATGTCATGGCAGCCCAACTCAGTAGATGAAGTTCACGAGGAAGACAGGGGAATTGTTGCTCCTCGTGCCATGAAGCTGGTGGCAAAGTATCACTTGGAAAAGGCAGTGAGGATTGTAGCAGTGCTGTCCGCCTTGCAGGAAGTCCATGGGGCGATGGCTGAGAATGTTATCGAGGATGCCGATAAGAACACGGAGGGTGACCAGGTGTTGGACCTCCTCAGCGTCACGATGATGTTGCTGGGAATGGTGCTCATGAAAGTCCTCCAGAAGTGTTGGAGCCGAATGAAGACCGGAAGCGAGGAGGATCTCGCTGCCATGAGGCCTGTGAGGGTCCAGTCGACTGGAACTTCATCCATGTCGAGACCTACGGCTTTGGAGGAAGGGGCTACTTCATCAATGTCGAGGCCTATGGCACTGGAAAGAGGCAGAGCTCCAGCGACGACGAGGCCTACGGCTCGATCAAGGGGTCCTTCGATGGCGCCGTCCGAGGCACAAAGGAGGGCAAGGGTGCGTTCTTTGCCACGGAAGAACATCGAGATCAAGGACCACAACAGACAGAGCCTCAAGAAGAACCACCGAATCGCACTGATGATGAGCACCATGTGATCTTGCCCACTGGGCGAAGGAGGAGGTTCAGGTCCGAACCAGGAGGCATGTTGTGCAGAAAGTGGGCAGTGCTTCCATCGACGTGAAGACTGCGGGGCTTGCGCAAAGCCAATCGCAAGCAGGTCAAGGCCATCTGCGGCGCCTGCCCATGGGCCACTCAGCAGCAGAGGCCATATGGTCAGACGACCTACTTGTACGAGGACGAGCTGGCAAACCTCCATACAGATCCACGATGTGGTGCTGTCACTGGTGCCATGGCATTGCCTAGAGCGGCTTGAGCTAGAATCTCGGCTTTTTTGGGGCTGCCCTCCAGAGGAAAAAACCTGGAGGGCAGGGAGGAGCGCGGACCCGCAAAAGGATGACATGCACAAATCTAGAAGTATACCTGACGAAGCCGCTTTTGAAGTGCTCAAAAAGGGTTGAGCGCGACCAGCGTATATAATGGGCATATTGGGCCTCAAAGACTTATTGATTCTCTTATTTAACCAAAGCATACTGACCTTCTAAAACCGCGAGATGAAAGCCACTAGATTTTTCTTGGAGTTTTGCAGGTGCAAAGTGTTTTTCAAACATTACCAGTAGAATAACAAAGCTAGGCTGCATATTTCTAATTGGAGGTAATTCCTAGGCGTTAGGCTTGACGTAGGATGATTCATACAGGAGAAATCCAAGAATTCGAGAATTCAGAAAGCTACATGAAGCTTCACATTGCTATGATCAATAATGTTCTCCTAAGCCCTCCTAAGCCATATCGGGAATTTCGAATCTTTGGCAGGGATTGCTGATGCGCGAAAGTAAAGAAACCAACAACTCACGTCCTTGTGAGTATTGGTAAGGAAGAAGCACTTCAAGGGCATACTCACCTGGCTGACCCTTAGCGCTTTGCTCTAGCTTCTTTAAAGCAGCTTTATAGAGAGTATGCATACGTGACATGTATATTGGAGATTTGTGGCATGCTGTAGTTCCTTTAGTTCACTCAATCACTGAAGAACGCCTTTGGAGGACCCTGGTGTACTTATATGTTTTTTCTGCAGTTTTGTGTCGTAACTGGGGCCCAATCAGAACAAGACGCGTGCAGAATGCCGCATGACAGCTACAGTGCTCCTCCTCACGCGGCTGGAGCAAGGGTTGTCGGAATTTCTAGGGTGAAAGGAAGATAAGTGCATATGCAAGATGGATAGCTTTCATGAATGAATGCATTCTTTCTTCGTTGGTGACCCAAGGGATGAGGCGTCGGTGCCAACTTTTGGAGTGCTTGGCGACACCGCGCTCAGCGACTTGAAAGCTCATGGCCCGAAACGAAAACTTTGAAGCGACAAATTGACGCAGCGCGTGCGCACACATGTTCTGTTATTTTTGTTAGGTCCCCATGTTGAACACATGAGGGGTTGACAGCTGCCGCTGCCTCTTCGAGGTCTATTTGATGGATGAGATCACCTCAGACTTAGATTTGTTTGCTCGCGAAGGCATCTTAAATTTTCTCCGTGCAGAGACCGAAACAAGGGGAGCCACAATATTCTATTGTGGCTTGGCTTCACGACTCTGGATGATTCTGGATTCTTGACATGCGCGAGTATCGAGTAGTTAAGGCACGCATATTTTTGATCATCTTGAAGGATGGGCAAGCCACCTCCTGCACCTGTCGCAGGGTGAGGCCCCGGAATAGGTTCCATGTTGCACGCAGGGCGTTGAAAGGCCCGGTGTTCAAGACCAAAGCAACGTTGGTGATGATGAATTGAGTCGAGCTCCTACAGAACTAACCATATAGGGTGCCGGAGCATGACGAAAGCCAAAACCAAGTCAGTTGGGGATGAGAAGTTTTGACATGATTCTGGTGCTGACCGCGGCAAGTTTCACATGCCCATTGTATTTGTGATTGCACGGGGTGTGAGCTGGCCGGTAGTTTCAGGTGATACGATTCTGCCCAATGAGCGAGGTTGAGGAGTATAGCACTCTTTGCGAGGACGCGGGTGTTCTGTCCCGACTGGGCATTGTTTCCCATGTATGTTGCATGTGAGGCTGGAAAGAGATTCCGTGATGTGAGTCATGTTCCTCAGACGGACTCGGTGCAAGTTGCGGAAGCGGGAGGTTTTGTGCAGTTGGGTGGGAAAGATCTCCGCAAAGTGCCGACAGGAGGGGAATGCCACTCCATTGTATTCTTTGGTGAGAAGATGGATTTACAAGGACAATTCGGGGCTGAAGCGTACTCAAAGGACACAGGCGTCTCATGTGCAGACACGCTGACATGAGGCCAAAGACTTTTGCTTTAACTGCAGTGACTGCAGTGCTTCTTACATATGATGTGGCCATTCTTTCTTCTGTCATGTCACCCCCTGAAAGAATTTTGGTGGATAATTTTTCTTGTTCAATGTTTGAGCAAGGTAGCGCCCTGCAACATCAAGTAGCGTGGACACCCAAAGAATATATAGTGGTGTGCCGACTGGACACCAGTTGTTGCCGCAACGAAAGCCAGACACCCAAAGAAGCTCTTCATGAGATTGCAACACGTCAAAGTCTAGTCGCCGACGGTCACCGAATCATAGCACTCTAGTCGCCTATTACATAGCTGTTGAGGTAGTAAGATACGATCAACACGGAATTCTCGTACATCCTGAAACCTATCCACTCCAGAAGAACCGACCCTAAGCGAAAAGCACTAAGCGCCGTCAAAGACGGCATTTGCACTCCAAAACTGTCGAGATGCGATGGATCGGGGCGATGCTACGAAGACAAACCTTCAGAGACCAGCCACAGAGTTCAGGGGCGCGGCCCAGACAACCCGGACACAGAGCCGGGCCACAGAGTTCAGGGGCGCGGCCAAAAGAAGGACAAGAGGAGGACAAGAGGAGGACAAGGCCCGGACACAGAGCTGGGCCACAAAGCCCAGCCACAGAGCCCAGCCACAGAGTTCAGGGGCGCGGCCAGTGAGTGTGGCCAGCTCTTTTTTTCTAAGATGAAGCCCCAACAGTAAACTGTTTGGGGAACGATAGGTTCATGATTGGTTGGTTTATGAAGTAGTTTGATGTTTGTGGCCCGGTTTGCTGGAGAGGAGTAGGGCCGAACAAATAGCGATGTCAATGCCGACAAAAACTCATTGATGAAGCAGTTTGCTCTTGGGGTGAAGGTAGGGCGTACCAAGAAATCGTTTTTCCCCAGATAGCGAAGCTATGGGGTTCTTACTTCAAATAATGGTGAGTTGCCCGTGCGCGCTTTCGAGACAGGTTGCTGGTACTGGGTGCCGGTGCTGGTGCTGGTGCTGTGAGCTGGCTGTGGACGTGGTGGAGCAGGTTGCTGGTGCCGGTGCTGGTGCTGGGGTGTACGTGGTGGAGACAGGTTGCTGGTGCTGGTGCCGGGTGCCGGTGCTGGTGCTAGGTGCCAGGTGCCGGTGCTGGTCCTGTGAGCTGGCTGTGCACGTGGTGGAGACAGAATGCTGGTGCTGTTGCCGGGTGCCGGTGCTGGTGCTGGGTGCCAGGTGCCGGTGCTGGTGCTGGGTGTGCACGTGGTGGAGACAGGTTGCTGGTGCTGGTGCCGGGTGCCGGTGCCGGTGCCGGTGCCGGTGCTGGTGCTGTGCACGTGGTGGAGACAGGTTGCTGGTGCCGGTGCTGCCGGTGCCGGTGCTGGTGCCGGGCAGTGGTGCTGCTGCTGGGTGCTGGGTGCCGGTGCTGGTGCTGGTGCTGTGAGCTGGCTGTGCACGTGGTGGAGACAGGTTGCTGGTGCTGGT